AAAGAGGTGTCTCTTCTGTGGGACAGGAGGGGGGCATCCAGCTTCCTCACTGTCTGGGGGAAGCGTCCTTTGAAGCTACTCACCAAGGTAACCTACCTCGTAGTTACTACAAAAAACATTTATCAGTGAATTTCAAATTTTGCAAACTTAAGATTCATTGGAGAGTTTGTTTGTTTACCACCCCCCCCCCAAAAAAAAAGGAAAAAAGAAGCTGATGCATAGGCATCTCCCAGGACAGGCTGATTCGGTAAGCATACCAGGAGGGCTTCCGTTGCAGACGACTGAAGTCATTCTTGCCACTTGAAGCTGAAGTGGATTTGGCTCAATGTTGCAGAGAAGGAAAGTGAACAATGGGTGAGGGGTTATTAGGTGTAGCAGCCAGAGATGCCTCACTTCTATCCCCAGGAGCCTGGACCCATGAATTCTGGCAACACAACCACTGGCTCAGAGCACACACTACATCCTACGGGTGAGAACTCCACTGTCACCAGGTGGTACCTCCAAGTTGGTGCCATGCCTCCTCCTTTAATCGGCCATTCATTCTACCACCCAAAAGATCAGCTACTCTGGGTTATAGGAACATGGTAAGACCAGAGAAAATCCCGGGGCACCAGCATATGAACTCACTTCTTTTGCTGTAAATGGATTCGTGAACAGAAGCAACGTTGGCTTTGGGTACAATACTTGAACCCACTGTACTTAGTTACATGAACAGGAAACACACAGATTTCCGTCCATGCTATTATTGTAGGATCCGCTGGAACTTTGGGACAGACCTGCTGGCCCTCCTGGACCAGATGAGGCAGCAACATCTGAGAGGTGCCCACTGACCCTGTGAGGCCAGCTACTGGCCAGGTAGCCTGGTACAATCTCACACACTCTTGGCTCCTCAGTGTCCACACATGAAATTAGCAGAATTTTCCTTCTATGTGTAATATATTATTAATTGCTATTGTTAGGAGATTAACCACAGTGAGGCATACATGCTACAATGTTGTAATTCCTTAGCTGGGGGCCCGAGATCTTATTTTCCATTCTATAAACAGTCATTGAGCAATCATTCTCTACATCACTTAATAATCTTACATCCATGCTGGCCCTGCTCTAAGTTGTCTTTCAAAGGAACACTTAATAACTTGCCCAGGCCAATGGTAATTTATGCTTATCTTAGAATGCTGATAAAAAATAATTGGGTGAATTATAGCCTTTCAGTCTTTAATTAGAAGCTTTTTGCATAACTCCATGTGTATTTCATATAAGTCTTGAGAACAGTTTTTCTTCCCCTCCGCCCTGCCCTAAAGAATGGCCTACACCAGGAGAAGGCGATCTGATTTAAAGTACATAAAATACAATGTGGCATTAAAAAGATATCTACAGGGCCAAAAATGAACTACCCAGGAAACAGGTATGGCATAATACCAAATACAGAGTTTATAATGTAAAGGGTCAGAAAATAAATAAAAGCTTAGAGGAAAAGGAAATTGAATTTTCATGATGCAGAGATGAAAAGAGCTACAAACTATTACTTTCATTGGAAAGGGAAGAAGCTTTGAAATGTAAAAAGGTTCATAAGGCAAAAAATACTTTCCTATGTGATAGAGGATTCAACCAAGCATACAAGTGAATTGCAGTGTATTTTTCCAAAAGGTTTCTACGTTTAAGAATGGAAAGAGGAAGATAAATTCCAGATTTACCAGGAAAGAGCAAAAAGGCAGTTGTATTTAGATTACAAAACCTTGCCTTGGGATTAAAAGATCTAATGGGATATACATCTGTATTTTCTCTTTACTTAGAGATTATTTTCTTATATGTGAAAACCTATAACAAATTCAATTGATCTCAGTGTTCAGTTTTGAATATTACATAAAATTAAGATTTATGGCTATGACCAGTCAATAAGTAAACAAAACTAATATTTCCAGCACACTAATTCCCTTTATTGACATAATAATATTATGGAGATATTTTTAAAGTCTCTAATGGAGTCTCTACTCCTGTATTTCAGTTCCACAGTAATTACATTTTGTTTGTAAGTCATAGTTAAAATGTTGTTATGTCATTTATAAACTCAATTTTGGGGGCCTTTCTATTTTTAAAAAAACGTCAATATTAAAAATTAGCACTGCAAAGTGTATTTATATTCAAGTTCAAGATAAAAAAAAGGGGGAGGGCAGTGAATTCCCTTGTGTTCAGTTTATATAGACCCATGAGACAGGACTGAGTAACTATCTGATAAATTCAGGTGGCCAGGAAATCCAATTCAGACCTCTATCAGGCATCCAAATGAATATCTGTGGTGGGCAGGACAAGGATATTTAACTCCAAATCCCTTTCAACAATGAATATGTTACATTACATGATAAATGGGGATTAGGTAGCAGATGAAATTTGGTTTCTAATCAGATGGGTTTAAAATAGACAAATTATCCTGGATTATACAGGTGAGTCCACACTGATTACAAGGTCCACAGTCATGGAAAAGAAGATTGACAATCAGTAATAGAGAAAGGATTCGATCATCCAGTGGGCTCTGAAGATGGAAGGGAGTCACAGGCCAAGGGAAGAGGGCGGCCTCTAGGACCCAGAAAAGAAAGGCGAGACACTGAATTCTCCCCTCCAGTCTGAAGGAGAAACATAATCCAGTGAGGCCATTTCTGACTTCCCACCTCCAGAGCTGTAAAATAATATGTGTGTTGTTTTAAACCACTAGGTTTTAGAGTAACTTCTCACATCAGCAATAGAAGATTTACACAGGAATCACAGTGAACTGGTCATGCTTGCAATTGTTTAATTATGACACACAGATTAATCTAAATTCCCCAAATACCCTGACTATTTTCCTTTTACCACATGCCAGACTAACCTGAAAACAAAGTTGTGAGATTGAGAAGCAATTGCTTCTAATAAATACACATTGATTCTTATATTGCCTTAAAACTTCATTGGCAAAATAAAGTGTTATTCTCTCTTACCAAGGAAATAAAATAAAATTACATTTTAGAAAAAGTATGTAAATTTTCTTTATATTATATTAGGTTCTTTATTTTAATGTTAATAATCATGTACATAAATATATATGTATTTCCTAAAACATACCTGACAATATTTCTAAAGTCCTTAAATATGACTTTGAGTTCTATCTACAGAATGAGAAACAATAAGAGAACTATATGATTCTTCAGTGAGTGGTCAGAAATGATCAAATTTGCAGTGATAGTTGACCTTGAACAACACAGGGTTAGGGGCCCCAATGCCCTGCACAGCTGAAATTCATGTATAACTTTGATTCCCCCCCGAAACTTAGTTACTAATAGCCTACTGATGACTGGAAGTCTCATGAAAACACACACAGTCAATTAATGTATATTTTCTATGTTGTATGTATGATATACTGGATTCTTATAAGAAAGTCAGCTAGACAAAAGTGTTATTAAGAAAATCATAAGGAAGGGAAAATACACCTAGAGTGCTATATGCATTTATTGAAAAAAATCCATGTTTAAGTCGACCCACATGGTTCAAACCCATGCTGTTCAAGGGTCCATTGTATTGAGTTCAGAACTCTTACTGACACATCAGGCTCCTCTGTCTTTCTTTTCCACAACAGCTGGAAGAGGTTGCTGTGTCATATTGATCATTTGAAAATATTAGTTAATACATTCAACTATGGTAAATTTCATAAATTTTAAAAGTTCACACAATTTACATCTTGTTTGTTTGAAGAAACAAACAAGAAAACAAAACAAAACAAAAAATAACAACAAAAAATCCCTCCAAATAAAATGCTCTATGTTTAGTGTATTCTTTTTTATAGCAACAAATACTTTTCAGATGCTGTGCAGGTAATCTCTCTTCTCTTTTTGAAGCCAACAGAAGGGATGTTATAAAATGACCCAATGATTATACTGTACTAGGAGGTATGAATTCATAGGATAGCAGCAATCTTATACAAAATAAAATGTTCTCACAGAAGAAAAAAACACTTTATTTACGCCCATCTATTTCCTGTGCCTGATTATCTCATATGCTATCCGCACCAGAGGGCATCTAAGGATCCTACTTCCACACAGAGATTAAATACTGGCAAACCTAACATTCTCCAGAATTCAGATCTCTTTGGTCATCTCCACAATCCAACTCAACTGGGGGCAAGGTAATGGCACCTTGGAGGAGGCATTTTGAGAGGATGGGGTCCTTTTTTTGCCTAGCGTGTCAACAAGGTGTTTGATTTCTATTTCTTCCAAACCAGCATTCCCTCTCTTTTCTGTATTTCTCAGGACCAACTTCACACCAAAGAAGGTTGTGGGGAGCAGTATTTTTCACATTGGCCAAAAGCCAAAATTAGCTTCTCACCAATAGTCTTCTTGGATCGCTAGGAAAGGTATGAAAGGTTTGAATAACTCTTGGTGAATGATTTGCAAAGCCCTGGTCAGCTTCACAATTGTCTGCCTTCTGTAATGTTCTCCACTTCAGTTTTATTCATTAAAGGTTTGAGTGCTTCGAGGGCTTAAGGACCCCTGTTAAAATGTTATTATTTCTAGGACAGTAAGTTGAGAGCTCTAACACAAATATAATTAAGGACACAGGGCTGATCTGGAATTGGGCACCACTAAGGCAGGCAAAAAAAATTTACAAAGCCAAAATCTTGACCTTGAAATACAATTTGGGACCTATCTTATTTCAGAAGTGTAACTTACTGAAAACCTAACAGTCCTATATTTGACTATTCCCCAAAGGGAAAGCATATAACCTAAATTTAGTATTCTCAAGGAACTAAAACATGCCATTAAACAGCAAGTACATAAGGTTATATATGCGAGATTTTTTCATAGTAAACAACCAAACATAATAAACTCCAAAATTAAAGCACAGAAGGAGTTAAAATATTATCTCTGAATTTTGACATGCTCCATTATTGGAGAAACATGTTTAAGAAATCTCTTCTGTAAGATTAGAACAGCATAGCACATTTTTTATCATATACTAAATGATAAACTTACATCGGAATTAAATCTCAACTGGCAAATGTTGCATGATATGATTTGCTTTCTCCGATGAGGAAGAGGAACCCCGAATGTATGATTTATTACAGCTTTCTGAATCGGGTCCATCTGTAATGAGAAAAAAAATACAACAAATAGAAATAAAGCTTGTCAGTTCCATTGGAATATTGCCTATTTCATTAAAGAGTCAATCTGTACAGCTTCAATCTACTGCGCACATTATAAAAACATTTTTATTCTAGGAAATGGCATGCCTACTTTGTCAAAAAATAGAAAACAATAAGCCTGAAGCTCACTATTATGAGGAAATAATAAATGTACCCATTAGAGTCTGCATACTGTTTTTCTCATTTAGAATCAACAATTTTCTCAGTTTGATAATCCTAAAATATAATTAAAGGTTTATCAAAACTCAAGTTATTATAAAGCCCAGCAATCGTATGCAGAAGTGCGTCTACATCATTGTCCCAGATGGTTTTCAAAATAGACTTGGTCAGGGGGTCAGCTCTGAAAACAAATTATGGACCATTATCCAACATAAACCTTATGTTATGTTTGGTATCTTTCCTACCTTAAGAACATAGCATACAATTCCTTCTCTCTAAGAATTCAAACATATGGAGCCATCGATGCAGTCAACAGCAAGTTCGTGACCCTCTAATACACACTGGTGTCCTATGGGTTTATTATTTGAAGTTCAGGGAGTTTGGGCCACAAATCAGTTATCTTTCTCCATCCCAGTTTCCCAGGACAGGACAAGAGACACCAAAAACATGTCAATAATCAGGATGTAATGAAACTTCATGTCTCCTTACCGAGCTTTGCCCTACCGCCCACATCAGTGTTTCTCGACTGTGTGAGGCAGATAAAAACTTTGATCTGCTTCTTAGTATGTGTGCAACCTCTTTGCTTATCTGCTTCTTTTAAGGTTAGGATGGGGCTTAAAAGTGATAATCATGAAATTTATTTAGCACAGTCGGTGCTGGGCACATTAAGGAGCCAATAAATGTTGGCTATTACTGCATTTTGCCATGTATAATGTGCACTTTTTTGCCCATATTTTTTAGGGGAAAATAAGCATGCACATTACACATGAGTATAATGAATGCATACCGTGGGTATAATAAAGGGCATAATAATCTCATGTACAATGTACAAAAAATGCGTATTATGCACAGAAAGACACAGCACGCTTTCTCTATTGCAGTACACGTGAGATCAAAGTTAACAGGAGCCTCACACTCCTCTAGTCCTTGTTGTCATGCTGCCCATTCCTCACATGGCCTCGAAAATTCAGAATGATTTAAATATTATGTACACAGTCGTGACTTCTGGTGAAGGCCTACGGACTTTGGAACTCCAAACTCTTGTCAGACAAAGTTCTTACTGCAAGTGCTCACGGTGGGTTGAAATATTTGAGATATGATCTGACAGACACACCAAAGCTAAGAATGTGTCCGTGAAATAGCTAAAAGCCACCTTCACTGATACACTGTAGCTTGTTAATGACCCTATTTAGGTGATAAATCCCACCACCTTTTGTGTATTTCAAATCATCAGAACCAGTTAACTCATAGGCTCTCCTCACTGGTAGGTGGGAGGATGTTCCTGTCCATATTCACAACTTCTATTAAGTTTTCTCAGTACTTTTAATGTGCCATTCTAAATAACAACTAGAAAAATAATAGCACTCAACATTTGTTAAGTGCCCTCCTATGCACTAAGCATCATGGTTTATAGGTTTAACAGTTAAAATGGTAGAGAAAGAAAATTATTGGTGTAACAATTTTAATCTTCTACCATCACTTTAAATTTTATTTATCCGATGTTAATCCTTACCCAGATTCTGGATAAATTTCAGCAATGTGATTTTTCTGGTCACTTCCAGATATTAACAAATTCTAGTATCCCTTCCTCCCTTATTAGTGAATTCTAACATGTTTTGCTTTTAACTGGTTTTATTTAGGTATAATTTACACACAATAAAATTCACCAGTGTTAACTGTAGAATTGGTTGAGATCTGACCTATACACACAGTGATACTAATTATCATACAGAACATCTGAATTACCTGAAAAAGTTCCCTTCTGCCCCTCTGTGGTCAATCCCTTCCTCCCACCCCAAGTGTGTGAATCCACTGGTTTGCTTTCTGTTGATGTAATCTTGACTCTTCTCAAAGTTCATATAAAGGGAATTGTACAATATGTGGTCTTTTATATGTCATCTTTCATTAAAAATAATGCTTTTAAGAATCAACCATGTGGTTGCATGTATCAGTAGCTTATTCTTTTTTATTGTTGAGTGGTATTCTTCTACATGGAAATGCCAAAATACGGTTATTCATTTTCAGCTGATGAACATAGGAATTGTTTCTAGTGAATTCTACAATCTTTTCAAGTCTCATTACACATCTAAAACTCACTCTTAAATTCAGTTCACTGATTTAATCAAAACATTAAAATTATTTGAATAATTAAAAAAGATATTAAAATTAACTTTGAATTACAGTCTTTTTATTTTAGGTTGACCCTACTAACACAAAGTAGTTTGGAAGGGTATAAGGAATGTTACAGGACTCTCTCTCTCTCACTCACACACACACACACACACACACACACACCCTTCTCCAAGTCCCCCACCCCAGCTAAGCTTCCAAACCTTTGTCACCCCATACCATTCCTATTTCCGCAGATGGGCAATGCACACAGCTTGAGAAAGTCAACCACCACACAAATGTGTGAATCTGGCTGCTTCAACAGCCTTCATTCTACTTTCTGGGATCATTCTTACATGACTTTAAACATATCATCCCAATGCTTGTATGACAACAATCGCAGAGAACACTGGGGGATAATTTCCCTTTTAGCTAATGGCTAAAGAAAATTCAAAGCAGAAGAAGGTCATGGACTTAGAGGTACTTGTCTCATCATGGTATGTACCACTCTGTTCTTGGCATAAATGGGGCTCGTTTCTATCAGGGGATAAAGTGAGTTATGTCTAAAACCCATTTAGGAACACTGAAGTCCTCTTATAATAATACTATGCAATAAAAATGAACTCCACCTTTATATTAAATATGCTCTCTGAAATGCAATGCTGAGTTTTTATCTCATGTTGGTGAGTAGCATATTGTTTTGATCTTTCAGTAACATTAGGGAAGCAGTGACCACATTCAATCCATATTTGTGCAGGAGGTATTTTGGAACTAGAAACCACATAAGTAAAAGTGGCATATTCTCTAGATTTAATTCTTTCATTTGAATTGAATGATGTTCTGATCACTGTGGCTATAAAATCAAGTATCACAATGCAAAGTTGTATATTCTTCTCCAGAGACAATTTTATTTCCCAGTATACTTAAAAAAAGGCAACTAAATTATATTTTAAAGATGAATTTCACAAACAATAGTTACACAACAAGTATCTATCTTTTATCCTTTAGGAATCTAGTACAACAAAGTAAGTTTAATGTCTTCATTAATGAACACAGGTCATACTCAACTCTCTTAATATATATGTTTATAAATATATGCAAAACCATTTATAACAAGGAATTATGAAGAGCAAAATATAAAAACTGATTCTGTTGTTAAATAGTTAATTAAATGAATCTAGATGGTATGTAACTTTATTAAAAGTAGCATCTACTATCAGCTCTGGGGCACACACACATGCACACACACACACACAGCCACTGATCATTTTGTTTAAACATACCATTATTTACCATTTTGATCAAACATTTTGTTCAAAAAGATGAGTCATATACGTTGGTTCCTCCCCCACCCCATGAACAAATAGGTCTGATCTGTCAAAACAATCATAGCTTACTGTGCATTGCACACCATCATTAGGAGTTTTTCTACAAAATCAGGCTCTAGAGATGCCAATATGTGTAGGCAAGAGAAAAAGGGGGCTTCTTGGGTCAAGTAAGCTGTAGGAAACGTAGGTATAACAATCTTGGCATTCACAGTACACAAAAATATTCAATTCTCTGGGATTCTGAACCATAGACATGTTTTAATTAAATTATTTCTAGTATAATATAACTAAAGCTTTAGTTGTTTTGTTGGTGTTTAAATTTAGCATCCCTGTTTCAATGCATGCAGTTTAGAAAACAGTAATCTGACACATAAAATGATTATAAAAATAAGAATAAAATGTAAAGTCTTCAGTACAAAAGTAAAGACACTAAACTAAAGCTGTGATACATAGAAACCAGATCCACAAAATCTTTGACACACTTCACTTTCCCACATGGCACTGAACTAAAAACTGATAGAAATGGTAAGATACACATGGTATTTTAAGCCATACTTATCTAATTTCTAAAGTGGGGTATTTTGAAAGTTAAATTTTTCTAAATATAATATCCAATCTCTCAAAACAAACAAAATTAAAGAATGATCCTGTAGCTATTAATATGCTTACCCAAACTATAGACAAAAATTCAATTTCAAACTCAGCCTATGGCCTTATTTAAAGTCAAACAAGTATTTTTTTTTTCCATTTAGGGTCTAAGGATCTTGCATTTCTATCTCAGGCCATGCCTCTCCCTCTGGGCCCTCTGGGCATTCTGAAAAATTGATTTGTAAATAAGTGTGCAAGGCACAGCCTCAGGTGGAGCAGCCATGGCTCCAGGCTCCCTAGGATGTCTGTTGTATTTTTAGAGAGAATGTGGGCTTATACCTGAGTTCACATTTCTGGCTCTAAGAGACCTCTTCTCTTGCTGTTCCTATCACTTTTGTGGCTTTCAAGTTTTACATTTAAAGAATAAGAACTTAAATGCCAGGAAGTTTAGAAGTCGCAAAATACAAAGGTTGTCTCTTCCAGATGGCATTTCTAAGTAACAATGGCAAGTAACATTAACTCTAAAGGTCACACTTAAGGGCACTTGCAGTGTGTTTTTTTGTTTATAGCATTATTCCCATCTTAGCAACTTGCTGAGGAGCCCTCATTGTCCCTTGCTGAAAATCATAAAACTAATAAGCCTTGTGATAGCCATTGTCCTTAATATTTGTGACTTGTGGTATTAAGTGACATTCAATAGAGAACCAGGTACAATTATTATATCAACTATGAATTAGTAAAATTTGTATTTAAGTTA